TTGTGCTCAATAATGTGCACTACCCTTTTTTCCTGGGGGTTTATTGGTCAGGACACGGGAGGAAAAAACTTCTCTTTTCAAATTGTGCCATGGGATCTTTTAACATTCAGATCTAAAGGAAGGCTCCCTCTGTATTGTATTGTAGTGTCAGCCAAGACTGTCAGCTCAAAATATGAGGTGGGACTTGAATCTACAATCTGATTCACATTCCAGTTGTAAACTGTCAGAATAATTATAGCAAATAGTGAGCATAAATGGAAACAGTTCTTGCACGTGAGTGAGTACACTCCCTTCAATGAATCATTGGTAGTCAATGGGGTCAGGCTGCTCACAAGAATATTTGCTGCCTTTTTTTCGGATTGATGTACACCTTGCACTTCTGTTTTGTTGCTAGTGGCTGAAACAATGGCTTATTAAGAGGGGATTATGAAGCCACTGGCTCTGTGTTCCTAACGTCACCTTGGAGTCTGCAAAGACAAAATGTAAAGACAATTTCGCGATTGTGGCTCAGCTAGGAATATTTTCGTACAACATTCTGAAATGGAATTAAAATACACACCAGTTTAAAAAAAAGTTTATTATCTCTTTCTAGTATTTGCATAAACAGAAAACATTGATTTAAAAAAAATGTAATGTCTTTATTCAACAACTTGCATTTATAAAGCATCCCCGGGTGCTTATTCAGGTAGTGAAGCCCTTGGTAACTGCATCATGATCATGAGTTAAGGCGAGTGCTTCACTGTTAATCTGCCTGTTGCAATTCTCCATCAAATGGTTCACACTGTGCTCAAAATCTAGATTGCTAAACTGAGACCAGCAAGTAATTTTCTCGATTGGAAGCCCGAGTTTAATTCTACTTCGAGATTTTCAGAAGATAGTAAATAACCACAAAACGGTTCTGCAAAAAGATAGGATGGCACTTGAGAATTGGAATTTTATCAGGCTGGGACTTTTGACTCTTGATTCCGAGGGAACCACCCTGCTTCACTGAGCTGTAAATTGTTTTGCAATGTTTCAGATGAGTCAGAATTTTGAAATGCCTGTGTTGTGTTGGGGATTAAGTGGCTTCTTTCAGTTGAGCACAGAGGGAAATCAACAGCTGGGCAAGGTTAATCGGCAGGACGGTTGAGGTCGAAACTCTGGACTTGGTTAATAAACAACTTGATGTTGTAAAGGGCAGAGGGTATGGTTGGTATTCTGGATAGACGAGGTTAAATGGGTCGAAGGGCCTTTTTTGTCCATTCTTGTGAACATGGAGTAGGTTAAGTTGTATTTGTGAAGATTCCAATAACGTAGACTTATCCACCAACCTCATTTTTTTTTAAAAAAGTTACACAGAAGTGAGTGTAGGAGACACTAACTAATCTTTGTAGGTTCTGAATGTGAATGCTTTTTTAGAAAAAAAAAGTCGTAAGAGTGTTAAAATTAAAGCAAACAATTAACCAATACAGGTTTCTAACAATGTCCCTTTTTCACTGCTGTCCAGACATTGTTAGGAAAGGACTGCATGATTCAAGGAAACAGCAGAGGGAGAGATTATAGACGTAAATTAGTGGGAAACTCTTGACCTTGCATCAGCAGTTTGTACAGTATAACAGGAAGTACGCAGCCAAAACCAGCCCTTTGTGATCTATTTTACTGGTGCTTTACTGGTTTTGACAGCCTGGGGGAAGGAACAGTGACGCTTGTCTTCTGAAATCAGCCCAGCCACGACAGAGTCTGATGTGCTGCATTTTCCCCGAGTAGCAGATCAAAACGTTTTTCAGCAGTTTGCTTGAAACTTTTTTTCTTGTAAACTTTTTTTTGGAACTATATTTCCCTTTGTTTTGCAATTACTCTTATTTTTTAAAATAAAAAAACGAAACTATGGCTGCTAAAATGGAAAATTGGCTTAAATGTACTTCAGTAAATCAGTATAATTGTTTTTTCTGTAATTGTAAACTGCAGATGGAGTCTTAAGATCAGATTTTCCATTATTATTAAACTTTTATGTTCTTTTGCAGACATTACTTAAGTGCTTGTTTTTTGAAGAATAAACTAGACTCTGCCAAACAGTGTGAAAGTTTTAGTTTCTGTCTGCAGTATGACAGCTATTTCATAGCTATCTGATTGATGAAAAAACTGATTTGAAAAAAGAACCCTTCAACTGTGGAAGTTTTTTTAAATGAAAGTATCTATTATGATTTAGGCTTCAGAGTACATAAACACTTTTCACATAGTTGTATTGTACATTTTGTCCATTTCTTTTTATTTTCAGTTCCCACTCTTAGTAATTTATATTTTGTATTTGATTCCAATCCCCAACAGTTCCCACCATTGGGGGTTAGAATATAAAAGCGAGGAAGTAATGCTTCAGTTTTGTAGAGCCTTGGACAGACCCCATCTGGAGCACTGCATTCAGATCTGGGCATCTCACCTCAGGAAAAATATATTGGCCTTGGAGAGGAAAAAGCACAGATTCACCAGAATGATTTTGGGTCTGAAGAGGTTAAATTACAACAATACCAACTTGCAGTTCATGAGGATAGGTTGCATAAACTTAGTTTGTATTCCCTGGAGTTCAGAAGGTGAGGGTGGTCTGACTGAGGTGTTTAAAATGACAACCAGTTAAGTGATAGTGTAGATACAGAGAAACTATTTCCTCTGGTGAGGGAATCCAGGACAAAGGGACATAATCTAAAAATTAGAGCTAGAGGTAGTGAAATCAGGAAGCATTTTTTTTTGCGCACAAAGGGATGTGGTCCAAAAGTCACACACCACTTTTGGTTACTGCTGACTTTACTTTCCTTCAGATCGGGTGTTATGGAAAGCAATACATATATCAAGCTCCACCATCACATAGCAAAGGCATTAAGCACAAATATGCGTGCAGACCACTGGACAGGAATTGAGTATTTTAAACAGCACAGTAGTAAAAAGAGCACTGGGTCAATTGGAATTTTCAAGATGGGTTGAAAGATTTTTNAGGTAAGAATATAAAGAGATATGGAGAAAAGGCAGACCAATGGAATTGAGATACAGATCAGCCATGACCTTAAAAAATGGTGGAACAGGCTCGGGGGCTGAATGGCCTCTCCTGTTATATGTTCCTAATCTCTCATATGATGCCACACATTATGTAAATAGTGGAGAAAACCATTAAAATGCCTCTCTAGAAGGCTCAAAGCATCAATGTTATAATGTGCCAAAGGGTGGTAGTCGATGAGAGTTTCCCCGGTTTCCCTTGCCCCAAGAGTTCTTATTTGGCTAAGTTCTCAGTTGTAGCCATGTTATTTGTAGTCAGGTCCCAGGGACTTGCTGTCAGAGGTGAACAGCCAATATATATTGAATTACAACAACAACAACAACAAGATTCCATTTATAAAGCGCCTTTCACGTCAGGAGGACGTCCCAAGGCGCTGCACAGTTGGGTCATGACCCGAGCAGGGGGGAAATGGTCAGGGTGAGGGGAGGGAAGGGAGGGAGCGAGGAGGGGGGAAATGGTCAGGGTGAGGGGAGGGAAGGGAGGGAGCAAGGAGGGGGGAAATGGTCAGGGTGAGGGGAGGGAAGGAGCGAGGAGGGGGAAGAGAGTCGAGAGGGGAGCTGAAGGCACGGTCAAAGAGAAGAATTAGGCTTGAATTGGGTTTTCATAGCACTGCTCGTTTTACTACTGTGCTGTTTAAAATACTCAACTGCTGATCCTGTGGTCTGTCCACGCTCACTCGTGCTAAATGCTGTTGCTGTGTAATAGTGGAGATTGATATGCATTACTTTCTAGAATGTCTGATGTTGAGGAAAACAAAGTTAGCAGTAACCAACAATTGTGCCAGGTTTTTGGCCACTTAATTTCTTCACCAATCTCTGACCTTTGTTCTCAAATGTTCCTTCATCTCAGGGTCATTTTGGGTTCCAGAGGGTTGTGCATAAACCTGTTGCGATGACGACACCACAAACTTGATATCTCAGGGGCTTTGAGATGACCAATGTGAGCAGCGGCACCCATTTAAATCTGCATGAGCTCCTCCCTCTCTCGGGCACGCAGTTGAATATCCTGCTGATTCTCATTGTCCATTCTTGCACCTGAAGAATGGACAATTGAGCAAGCTATTGAAGTCAGAATTACACCCTGGAATCCTCCAGATAAATTGGTTGTTCACCTGATGACAGTTTTGTCTGTGGGATCTTTGCTTCAGCAGAATAGCTTCTGTATTTCCCTGAAAAAGTAGTTACTGTACTTGACTGTATTTACTTTAAAGGGCTTTGAGAAGTGTGATAATAATGGCACTCTAAAAATGCACATTCTTACTTCATTCTTTGTTCAGAGCTGCCCCTCAATTTAGCAAAGTTGACAGGATATCAGCAATGTTGTTCTGGAAGTTAGGTAAATGGAAATGTCACTGGATCATTAAGTGACAATAATGATGTGATGTTTGGTTCAGCTTAGGGTTGTGTCTGATGTTGAATGTAACATATTTCCATTTCCCAACCAGGGAAATAAGTACTTTATGTGTGCAATTTTTTTTATATATAGAAACCTGGCTCACTAACAGCTGCTAATCAAAATATCTAGTTTTATGGTGCTTGAATATCTTTCTAAACAATAATTTTATGCATTTTTAAAAATCTAAATTGTACCTTTTAATACTGTACTTGTGATCCAATTTGAATGTTTATTATAATAAACCACCAGATGACAAGAGGATAAAGGGTGTTTGCAGTTATTTATCTACACAATTATTTTAATTCTGCTGTTCTGCTGTATACTTGTGGTCAAAGGTTAATGTCATCAAATATGAATCTACGTAAAACAAGCACAACAGAGGCTTCCTCAAGAATTTACAGTCTTGACTTCCTCATGAATTTACACACACATTGCTTCCAAACACACTTCAGGGATTCATTGTTGTGTGTTTCGGAAGCTCAATGTTACTTTTGTTTTCTACATTTTTTATATGAGTTGGAGTGTACTGTTTTTAAGGATACACAGCTACAAAAACTAAATCTGGGGTGTGTGTTTGCAGTGCCTGATCATGACGTCGAAGCGCAATATATTTGGACGGTTGGTGCCATGTCGCTGTCTACGAGGAGAAGAGGAAGCGGTCACTGTGTTGGACTATTCACACTGCAGTCTGGAGCAAGTCCCCAAGGAGATCTTCTCTTTTGACAAGACCTTAGAAGAACTTTATTTAGACGCTAACCAGATTGAAGAGCTTCCAAAGGTGAGATAGTCTCCTTGTTTTTGCCTGCCAAGAAAATTGTTTAACTTTTTCAGCTGTTCACTTTATTGATGTTAATCAGTAATAATTAATAATAATCCTTACAATTTATAGAGAGCTTCACATCTGGAAAGTGTCATAATATTTCACAGGATTTAGTATAAAGTGGAATGACCGTATTTTGTGGGTGAACAACCTTGTGATCGTAAATTTTATGTGAGTGTGGTTGAAAAGATACGTTTTAGGCAGGATTTAAAGACTGATAGAGAGGGGTAGACAGAGGGAACAGCAGAGGTTAGAGGTGTAGTTGTTGAAGGCTCAGCCAACGTTGGTGGTATGGAGGGAACACACAATAAACGCAAGTTTGCTGAGGGGAAGAAGCAAGCAGAAGAATGGGGTAGAAGAAGATCAGAGATAGAGAGGTTCTAGAGCTTGAAGGGATTTGTAGGTGAAGGTGAGGGCCGTGAAGCCAAGCCATTGGGAGACTGTAGCCTGTTGAGGATTGCAGTGATGAACATGCAAAGTTTGACAAGGGTGAAGCTCTAGGTGTTAGAGTTTTGTATCAGCTGGAGCTTATGGATGGTTGAACTAGGTAAGAGTGCATTTAAGAAGTCTAGTCGGGAGGTATCGAAAGCACAATTGAGGCATTTGATATGAGATCACCGGCCCGATACAATACCCTGAGTGAAAGCCAAGATATAGTTGTTGAAAGAACGGAAGCGGGCAATAAGGTGAAGAAAAGCAATCTTGGTCAGAGTCAGAATGTGAGGAAGAACATTTACTGTGTATTGTAGTGACCAATATTGTATCTTTAGGCTTTAACAAATGAAAACTGGAAATGCATAGTCAATGGCTCAACATGTGAAAGAAGCTACTTTTTAAAAAATGTTTTTAATATGAACAATGTAATGTTTGGAGTAATTGAGCAGAAAACTCCATAAATGATGACTACGTGTCTATGTATTGGATTTTCTCTAAACCAGTGAAATATGTTTCAAAAAGCAACATTGAATAGAATCATAGAAATTAAGAACAGAAGCCTAATTGACTTACTGTGCTGAACTCCTCCTTCACTGTATCTACTCTAAATCCATTTACCTGATCTTACATTTGAATACAAATTGACATTTACATAGTGCTTTCACATCTGGAGGATGTCCCAAGGTGCTGGATAGTCTAGGTTTGCACCCGAGGTGGGGTAGAAAATGGATGAAGAGGAAGGTCTTGATGGACCATGAAGGAGGCGAAGGAAAGGGCTAGTTGAAGGGAATCCGGAATGGAGTTCCATAGAGTGGGAGTAGAGATGCTGAAAGCTAGACCGCTGATGGTGGGACGGGTGGACAAGGGATCTTCTACATATTTAAGCTCCTGTAGTGTATTTGAAATATAAGAGCAAGAGTTAAGCTTATCAAGGCATTTGGCCCAATAAGCCTTCTCCACCCTTTTATTTGATCATGGCATCTGTTTTTAATCCCAATTCCCTTCTGCTTCCCATATCACTTAATTCCCTCACCTCCCACGGACTTGTCTGCCTCCCTTTTAGATGCCTGGATTGATTCTGTGTTCATGAGCTTTTTGGAGGTGTGATGCACATTACTCTGCATTTCATAGTTAAGTTACTGTTATCCAAGGATTAATTCTGGTAATTTTTTACCAGACTTATTCCAAGGCTAATATATAGTTTAAAAGATGTGGTGCTCAACTTTGAATCCAATATTCCAAATAAGGTCTCATTTCTTTCACTACCATGCTAGTTAAACGGTACTTAGAAAATCATAACATAATTGGGCAGTGTCAACATGGCTTTACGAAAAGGAAATCATATTTAACAAATCATTTAGTTTTTTGAGGATGTACCTAGCAGATTAGATAGGGGAGACCAGTAGATGTGGTGTATTTGGATTTCCAGAAGGCATTCGACAAGGTGCCACATAAAAGGCTGTTGCATAAGATTAGAGCCCATGGAATTAAAGGTAATATCTTAGCATGGATTGGAGAGTGGCTAACAGGAAGAAAACAGAGTGGAGGGATAAGCAGGTCCTTCTCAGATTGGCAGGATGTGACTAGTGGAGTGCCACAAGGATCAGTGTTTGGGCCTCAATTATTTACAGTCTATATCAATGATTTAGATGAGGAAATAGAACTTAACATGTCTAAATTTGTGGACGATACAAAGCTAGGTGGGAGAGTAAGCTGTGAGGATGACACAAGAAGAATGCAAAGGGAAATAAGCAGGCTAGGTGAGTGGGCAAGAAGGTGGTAGATGGAGTGTAACGTGGGGAAGTGTGAAGTTATTCACCTAGGCAGTAAAAATAGAAAAGCGGATTATTTTCTAGAGGGGGAGAGACTAGATAGTGTTAGTTTTCAGAGAGATTTAGGTGTCCTTGTACACCAGTCGCAAAATATTAGAATGCAGGTGCAGCAAGCAACTTGGAAGGTTAATGCCATGTTGGCATTTGTTGCAAAAGGGTTCGAGTACAAGAATAAGGAAGTCTTGCTGCAGTTGTATAATGCCTTGGTGAGACTGCACCTTGAATATTGTGTGCAGTTTTGGTCTCCTTATTTAAGAAAGGACATACTCGCCTTAGGGTAGATTCGCTAGTTTAGTTCCGGGGATGAGGGTGTTGACCTATGAAGATAGGTTGAGTAAACTAGCCCTATATTCTCTAGAATATAGAAGAATTGAGAGGTGATTTTATAGAAACCTATAAGATTCTTAAGGGTCTTGACAGGGTAGATTCTGTGAGACTGTTTCGCCTGGTTGGAAAATCTAAAACTAGGGGGTCATAGTCTCAAAATTAAGGGTCAGCCTTTTCAAACTGAGTTGAGGAAACATTTCTTCACTCAGAGGGTGGTGAATTTGTGGAATTCTCTACCCCAGAAGGCTGTGGATGTTCAGTCCTTGAACATATTTCAAAACTGAGGTTAATAGATTTCTAAAGGATAGAGGGATTTAGGGACATGGGGATAGGGCGGGTAAATGGAATTAGGTTAGAAGATCAGCCATGATCTTATTAAATGTCGGGGCAAGCTTGAGTGGCCCAAAGTCCTACTCCTGCTCCTACGTCTTATGGTCTTATAGTTCCTTGCTTTAGATAGATCTCTTGTAATAAAGCCAATAGTCCTATGTCTTTCTTTTATTCCTTTCTGTAAGTATGTATTGGATCTAACTGCGTATAAATTTGCCCAGAAAATACACAATCAATCCTCTGTACAATATATTCTGTAAGCGCTTTGAGAAGTCATTAACGACGTGAAAAGGCAATATATCAAATTATAGTATTATTTGCATACCTGGATGACTTAGTTCTTTTTGTTCATCTACCTGCTTTTCCCCAAATGCTTTCCTGTTTATCATAATTTTTTGCCCTTTTTTGTAATCTTCTCATTACTGACGCATTCATCTCAGCTGCTTGTCTGACCTCATGTTCCTGGGGTGTGGTTCCTCCAGTATTCTGCCCAAGTGGCTACAGCAGCTGTGATACAGATATTGGAGATGTGTTTTCAATAGCTCAGTGACTGGTGTTGCAGCTGGAGTTGTCTCTATCCAGGTTTTCAATATGTTTACAATATATCCTGAAAGCTGAGAACATTTGAGACTGCACAGCTTCCAGTGAGCCCTGGATTATGGTTGTTTTCATTTGTTGCCAAAATGAGGGGCCATCAATAGAAGAGAGCCAGTAGCAGATCTACAGGGGAGTTTTAAGAGGAACATATTTACACAGAGGGTGTTGAAAATGTGGAACTCACTTCCAGAAGCTGTGGCTTGTCAGCAGCACATGGAAGGACAGAGCAGCCACTGGGAGCAGGGATCCTTGCAAACTCTGATAAAGTAATGCTAGCTGGACAAGCAGTGGGAAACTTGCCATTTTAGCTCGTTAACTTCCATCCATATCCCAATTCACACTGTGGACATCCCAAGCCTTGGCTCTTGCCAATTGCGCATAAACGTTCAAATTCTGGAAAAACACATGGTCCCTCTCTAGGGAGGGAGTGCACACTCAATATCAGATGAATGGAAATTTCCAATTGTAAATCGAACACTGTTTGGTTTGGATACTCTTCAACATTGTGATCGGTTTCCACATGTGTGAAACACCTGGCTCACAAAACCAAAACATTCTGTCATAAGAACATTCTTTAAAGCTGGAACTCATTTTGGTAATTTCCACCCTCTCCTCCCCCTCCCCATATTTCCTAACATGTGAGTCTGAATGCTGGTTGACTTTTGGATTTTGATGAGCATTACAACAAAACCTTGATCATGCTCTTGCTTAGACTCTCCCCCCTCCCCGGCTTGCCACATCAAAGTCACTGGATACATCGAAGCACAAACCTCATGTGATTCATACCTTCTACTCCCCCTCCTCCAGCTGTTTTAGCCTTTTAGAGCAGAGACCATTTGTTCCCCATCTGATTTTCATGGGTCTGTGATCAAATATTAGTCCTGCCTGGTTATCTTAACACATTTTAATAGTTGAATATTTGTGGCATAAGTGTAGATTAATCTTCTGAAGTTTTCCCTTGGGTCAGAAAGCTTGGGGGAGGGAAATCATCACCAAACAAATGGATTTGCAGCCATGATGGGCAATTGTTATATGCACTGTGGAGAGAATTTATTTAATGGGCCGAATGACTTTTAATATCATTCCAACCATGTGTTTTTAAATTTTACCCAGACCTTTGAGATGATGTATGTTTGCTATGTATTGGTCAGATCAATTTGGTTATTTGAACAGTATGATAAATTGCTGAATACTCATCATGATATTCATATCCATAACTAAGGCATTTATGATAAAGTTTGATACGTCCTCCCAAAATGAAAGTTGATTTATCAAATGCAATGATAATTATTAACACCTGAAGTGTTGAAACCTATTTTGTGGGTTCCATATGGGTTCAATAAAACAATCATTTTTAAAGCATTAAGTTTCTCAGTCATGTCAAAATTGGTTCAATTCCATAGCCAATTATTTAAAAAATATTACTGCAATTTTTTGGACTTCAAAGCACTGGGTGGCTGTTTATCTTCATGACATTTGTAATGGAATTTTCATAGGACTTTGCTTTATTTCACAACAGGAGACAGGATAACTGAGAATGATTAGATTTATAAATCTAGTTTGTGGCGGATGCTGTAAAATGCAGCCCGTAAATCATTCGTGTGTTTTTTTTCCTTAATCGTTTTGAAGAAAAGTATGCACCCCAGTTGTGCGGGTAGCCACGTAAGTAGAGGATTGATAACTGAGGAATTCCAATTAACCAGATTTTCCTTGATTTTAAGGGAATGTATATAGAACGTAATGTCTAGTAACAAGCTTCATTGCATTGAAAACTTCAATTGGTCTCAATCAATTTTTGGGACAATATTGACAACTTTAAACTCATTTGAGTGTTATTTTTTGGTGGAATTTAAAACACTGAATATTAGCTGCCTACAAAGCATTTTTCTTGTTCAGATCAGGTATTTGCAATAATTTAATTTATTAGATGCATGTTATTTTACTAGTACTGAAACCAAACCTATAAAAGTGTCCATATGTTTCTGAATGCTATAGTTGAGGGATCACAATATCTTGAGTTACCACAATTTATATGTTGGATGTGCTTTAGACCTTGAGTAGATCTAGCTGCACTCTTTCTTTACTGAATTGTTTCTCTTAACCTGCAATCCAGTTTGTTTTGATGAGATATTTGCTTCTGGGTGTCTAGTTCTGCTGTCATTATTCCTCAATCTGAGCATGTGATATCTGCTAACCAAAATATATTATCTATTCTTCCATTAAGGACAATAGCATTTGCACGATTTCTCCAATATTATCCCTACCATTGTTAAAAAAAAAAGTTTTGTATTTCCACAAATTGCACAACAGTTTTGCGTTCAACATCTACACCATGCTTTGAAAACAGCTGGAAACAGCACTCATTTAAGTTTGAAAAGATGTATTAAAACTACTCTCGGGTCAATTCTGATTGTAGTGCATTTAGGGACCTTCCAGGCCTAAGAAGTAAGCTAAGGTAGAAACGTAAAACGTAAAACAAAGCTGATTCTCCGTGTTCAAGGGATGAGCTACAAGTAACAATTACTTTAAGTAACAATTACAAGTAACAATGCCTGGAGAAAAGAACTTGTGACGCACGATACTTATCTGGGGAAAAAAATTAAACCAGAATACTTTCAGATATGTTGAGACACCAGGATAAGAGAGCACAGGTTTAGAGTTGTGCAGGACCATTTCAGGATAGACACTAATTTTTTTTAATGTATACTGTAATCAATAGTTGGAACAAGTTACTAGGAAGTGTGGTTGAGGGTAGTACACAGACTCAATGGGGTATTGGGAAAAAGATGGTGTTGGTTTTGCTGACGGATAAGATTAAATGGACCGAAAGGCCTTCTGAATCTATATCTCTATTGTACACTCAAACATATTCATCATCATTCAATTTTACTGTTGACTTCTTACTCTCGCTCCTCCCCCTGGTTCACCACCCACCTCCGCTCACTGAAGAGCCAGGTGCGGGCCGCTGAATGCACCTGCCTCAAATCTGGCCTAACGGTCCACCGACAAATCTGGCTGGACCTCCTCAAAACCTACCGCTCCACCTCGGCCACGTTGTCCTTCTACTCCAGGATAATCCTGGAGGCGAAGAACAACCCCAGGCTACTGTTCTCTACCACATCCCGACTCCTCCGTCCCCCCCGCCACCCCGAGCAGGTCATCTCCTCCAACCTTCACTGCGAGGAGATGCTGGATTTCTTTAAATCCAAAATCAAGGGAATCCGCTCCGTGATCACTCCCCCTCGAACTTCCACCCACCCCCACCCCTTCCCTCCCACACTCCAACTCCTACCCATCCTCCCCTACACACCTTCGAACCTGTTTCCCCACCCTCTGTCACCAAACTCATCCTGTCCCTGAAACCCACCACCTGCTCCCTTGACCCCATCCCCACTCCACTCCTTATCTCACAGCTCCACCTCCTTGCCCCACTTCTCACAGACATCATCAACCTGTCCCTCTCCTCTGGCTCTGTTCCCATTCCCCTAAAAACTGCCACCATCACTCCCACTTTGAAAAAACCCTCCCTTGATGTGTCGCAGCTATCAAGCTACCGGCCCATCTCCAACCTCCCCTTCCTGTCCAATGTCCTTGAAAGAGTTGTCGCCTCCCAGCTGAGTTGTTTCCTCTCCACCCATGCATTATTCGAACCCCTCCAGTCGGGTTTCCGTGCTGCCCATAGCACAGAAACTGCCCTGGTCAAGGTCACCAGTGACATCTTGACCATCTGCGACCAGGGCCCCCTCTGCCTCCTCGTCCTCCTCGACCTATCGGCAGCATTCGATACGGTCGACCACACTATCCTCCTCCACTGCTTGTCCGCCCACCTCAACCTTCAAGGCCCTGTCCTTGAGTAGTTTAGGTCGTACCTCTCCCACCGTCTTCATTTTGTTTCCACAAATGGCTTTTCCTCCACCCCCGCACTGTCTCGTGCGGTGTCCCTCAGGGCTCTGTCCTCGGTCCCCTCCTCTTCACCCTCTATATGCTCCCCCTTGGTGACATCATCCGCAGACATGGGGTTAACTTCCACATGTATGCGGATGACACCCAACTCTACCTTTCCTCCTCTACCCTCAGCTCCACGACCACCGATGTCCTGACAGCTGCCTGTCTGACATCGAGTCCTGGATGAGAGACAACTTTCTTCAGCTCAACGTGTGTAAAACTGAGGCCCTCCTGATTGGTTCGCGTTAGCGCCTCCGCACCTCAGGCGCTGACAGCATCAGCATCCAAGGCTGCACTCTCCACCTCTCAAAGCCAGTCAGGAACCTCGGCGTTTTGTTCAACCCTGAGCTGTCCTTTATTCCTCATTTCCGCGCCACAACTGGCACCGCCTTCCATCACCTCTGGAATATCGCCAGACTACGGCACTACCTCACCCCTCACGCTGCTGAAACTCTGGTCCACGCCTTTATCATCTCAAGGCTGGACTATGGGAACTCTCTCCTCGCCGGCCTTCCCGCCACCTCCCTCCACAAGCTGCAGATCATTCAGAACTCTGCAGCTCGTGCACTGTCCCGCACCAGGCTTCGGGACCACATCACTCCCACCCTCGCTCGCCTCCACTGGCTCCCCATCCCCCAGAGGATCAAATTCAAGATCCTCATTCTCACCTACAAGGCCATTCACGGCCTTGCTCCCTCCTACCTCTCCGACCTACTATCCCCCTACCTACCTGCCCGCACCCTCCGTTCCTCTGGCTCCGGTCTGCTCCACATCCCCCGCCCCAACCGCCCTAACATCGGTGGCCGGGCCTTCAGCCTCTCAGCCCCTAGGCTCTGGAACTCCAACCCCCAGTGCCTTCGACTTGCCTCCTCCCTTTCCTCCTTTCAAGGCCGGTCTCAAGACCTTTCTGCTTGACCGTGCCTTCAGCTCCCCTCTCGACTCTCTACCCCCTCCTCGCTCCCTCCCTTCCCTCCCCCTAACCATTTTCCCCCTGCTCGGGTCCCGACCCAATTGTCCAGCGCCTTGGGACGTCCTCCCGACGTGAAAGATGCTCTAAAAATGAAATATTGTTGTTGTTGTTAATTGTTTTGAACTTGCTTTAATTTAACTCTCTTTCTCCTCTCTTCTGCCAACAGCAACTGTTCAATTGTCAATGTCTGCACAAGCTGAGCATGCCAGATAATGACCTAACAGCATTGCCGGTATCCATTGCAAATCTCATTAATCTCAGGGAATTGGATATCAGCAAGAATGGTAAGGATTTTGTTGCTTTATCAAATAGGTCTTAAACCAAATTGTAGCTGTTTATTATAACATGTCATGTTCCATTTTACAATCAAAATAACCAGGAACTACAGGAATGATGCCAACTTTTCTGAATGTTAGAAATTTACACTACAGAAAAAGGGTGTTTGGCCCATCATGTTAAGCGAAGATGGGAAATCCTTTCACTCAGCTATAATAAAGGTGCCTCCTTCTTGCCTATCTTCAGATCGCATCTAAAGACCTTCCTCTTTGACAGTGTCTATGATCTCTCCCCAGCTTGGCGTCAAGCTCCTCCATTGTTAAGAGTTCTAAGACGCTACCCAAGTAAAGGGCTATATAAATGCAAGTTGTTTGTTTGGAGGGTGCATTCAATCTTGCTACAATCATGTTTTAAAAATATGATGTATGTATATACAGTATATTATACAGTATATTATACAGTATATTATACAGTATATTATACAGTATATTATACAGTATATTATACAGTATATAATACAGTATATTATACAGTATATTATACAGTATATTATACGGTATATTATACGGTATAGTATACGGTATATTATACAGTATGGTATACAGTATGGTATACAGTATGGTATACAGTATAAACATGTAATGTTTTGTCTATTTTAAAATATCTGGCAGAATATGATGTGAAGCTGAACCTGTAAAGCTTTATTTTTCAATATTCAGTTGATACCAAACATCAACCAACAGAAGTAAAATGACACTTCAGCTTCTCTGGGAAAAAATAAGCTAATAACTGAGAAACTTGAATAGGAATATGTAGGTTACTACGTAACATTGGCAAATATGTTTTGTTTTTAACTAGTAAGGAAAAGAAGGTAGCTGAGTATCAAGTTTTGCAGTGCAAGTAGAATCAAGTGCAGTAAAATCTTATTTGCCAGAATGTGCCATATTCAGATCGATGTCATAACCTGAGGCACAAGAATGCAGCATTACTTCAGATAAGCTTTTGATTTGCTTATTGAATCTGTGCTCAAAGACAAGTTGAGTGGATTTGTTTCCATCAGAAATCAATGAGCAGGCCTTGACTTATACCCAACGCATCTGACTGTTAACATTTCATGATGAAGCCTGTCAATAGTATTTGCTGATGTCTGATCCAGTGGAGCTCTAACTTGAAATCCTGACTCATTTTGAAGAATGGTTTAATGCCATAGTAAAGATTCAGTGAATGCCCAAGATGGCATCAAAGCAATTGGTGGAGTGAATAAAAATGTAATTGGGTAAACTGCAACTCACTTTGAACTGAACAATGGCAGATTAGTTCACATGGACATTAATACAGGATGACCAAAAAATTGTGATATCATTACAATGTCTAATAGCAACACCTTGGGTTTCTGACCCCGTATCATTTTTTCTTTTAGTTCAGAGATCTCCCAGATTTTAATTGCATTCTGCCTTTTATGGATATAATACTGACATAAAGGCTCAGTTTTTAATTAAACATAGAGTTTAGTGAATTGATATATTAAATCTATCTACAATTGCCTAGATTACTCTAAAGAAATTGCTTTACTGTGACGAACTTTGTTGAGATAAGGTCATACTAACCCCGACATTTCCGCTCTCTTAGTTACCAATCAGTAATACTGGCGATGACTCTTGAGTGGAGGCTGGGCATTAATATCATAGACTGGCTTCCCTGTCTCTCTGTATTTTAAACGTTCAGCTCATCATGTCCTTGCTGATGATGGCTCCTTCACTGGAGCCATTTACTCTCGAGATTTAGAGTGAAAAATGTGAAGTGTTGCATTTGTCTTGCCCATCTCCTAAATGTTGTTCATAGATTGGATTGCCAACAACCTGAGGGATGACTATCTGGTCCTCCTCCAAGTGAATGGTGGAGTGAATAGAAATGAGCTTGACTGATCGTATCAATGTGGTGCTGAGGCAGTCTTTAATTTTAGCAACATTGAACGGTATCATTCAATTCTTAAATGCCAGTCTCCTGTGGGACTCTGCAACCTTCTTGTAGGCAGCACTGTTTTGATCCATAATGTAGATAGGCTTTATTTAAAATAAAACAGGTGCCATGTTTAATTACAACTGTCCTAATATCCTTAGCTAAAAGTAGTTTTTCAGAGTTTTACCTTCAGGTTATTTGTCAGTCTGAAAATTGTTTCATGCACCTATAAATAGCCAATTGCATCAGTTGCCAGTATTGAATACAGAGAGGTAGAGCATTGAGATTTGTCTTTCTGACATGTACAAAACATCTTTTGAACTTGCAAAGGTGAGATAAGAATGCAACAGATTCTTCTCATTTCAGTTGATCACTGTGAAAATCAGTTGTTCTCCAATTTGTTTTATTACAGCTCTTATGCAAAGCTATCATTTCTGCTCTCCCAATTGTATGCCTCTTCCCCAAACCCAGAAGGTACCTGTTTCACTGCACCTTTCGTCTCTTGACTGAGTGAATCAGTTAGTGTCCTAGTTTATTGTTTGGTTGGACTCGTGAATATTGGAAATTGGGTTGAGATTGTCTAAACCTCATCTACCTTGCAAGGGCTCAAACCCACGCTAGTCGGATATCAAATGACCAACCAGTGACTATTCTGCTTGGAGTTGTTGGAGGTGGGGAGGTAAGTGGGATCTCTTTGGAGGTGAAATGGTTCCAAGGTGACATGTTTGGCAATGGAATGTGGGACAGGAGTCCACCCTCTGTGCAGTCTTGGTTGTTCAGTTCCTGAATCAGGTGCAGTATTCCAGGGCACTGCTGATGACAGCACAGCCAGCCTGGCTCACCGGTAGGATTTGGAGGGGCAGATCAGTCACTGAGGGCAACGATTCTTCCCACTCAGCTCCTGTTAAACCTGCAAGTCAAAGCCCTAATGGGTGGGGTGGTCCTGGCTAGCTTGCCAGACAGTGCTTTCAATGGCTAGCTGTGTGGTTTTAGATTATCCATTTCATATAGGACTCTCCAGTTTGCTGAGAGAAGAGGCTATTCTTAAACCAGTCTGAAACGATTTTAACCACATTTCACCAGCCTCCGTATGATAGTCCTTCATTGTGTTATTTTCCATCATTCAAGTCAAAACCTAATACTGCTTTAGTTTGTCATTTAATATCCATTTTTATTGGGTTTAAAATGTCTTCCTTCTATAAATATTCACATTTTTAAATGGGTGTTTCACTGAAGAATGTTTTAGCACATATTTGGGTTAGGTTTTCGGATTAAACGCACACTATTTTTTGAGTTCAAATTAATGACCTTTTCTGTGTATTCGTAAAAGTGATTCTGCTGTAACCATGCCCCCATTATATCCCCTAACTTACGGTCAGTATTGTGAAATGCCCCTCTTTTCTGTCATGTTGTCATTGACAAAGCTGAAAGGTCCAGGCATAAAAATAGCCACTCATTCCAACAGGAAACTCGATACAGTAAACCTCACATGAGTCATATCAGTTGAGACCACACATTGAATTTGACTTATGCAAAATATGAGTTATGTCAAACCTGTACAGAATATAAACTCTTGAATGGGACTTGGGCAGATGTACGACTTAGACGATTATACAATTTATGCAGATAAGACTAATGCAAATTTTACTGTAATTGCTAAGTATAAAATTATTAGATTTTAGGAATGCTTGGAAGTGAGTTCACAACTAATGCTTTAGCGGGAAGAAGAGGAGTGCACATTTTGATGTCGTAAACATCTACACTCCAATCGGAAGTGGAGACAGGAGATCTTGGAGGCTAAAAACAATCCTAAAATCCTTTTTTCCACCACCCACTACCTTCTCCATGCTCCCCCTCAGGCCTCCTCAATCTTCACATCCAACGCCAAGTGCGAGGAGGTCATGGACTTCTTTTCATCCAAAATCCACAACATCCGCCAGGCAGCCTCATCCTCCTGCCTCTTGTCACCCACCACCACCTCCTCTCCATCCCCCTCACCATCCCCATCATCAGCTCCTACCATGACAACCCGTCCTACATTCCTTCCTCCCCATCTCTTCCTCCTCCCTCTCACCCACCATCACCTCAATGAAACCCACCTGCTGCCTCGACCCCCTCCCCACCAACCTGCTGGTCACCCAGCTCCCCCTCCTCTGCCCACTGCTGGCTGATGTCATCAACCAGTTCCTCTCCTCTGGATCAGTCCCTGCCTCCCTCAAAACTGCTGTCATCACCCCCTTCCTCAAAAAACTTTCCCTAGATCCCTCAAACCCCAGCCACTACTGCCCTATCTCAAACTTGCCCTTCCTCGCAAAAGTCCTAGAATGCGTTGTTGCAAATCAACTCCTTGCACACCTCTCCTCCCACTCCATCTTCGAACCCATCCAGTCCGGTTTCCACCCTGCCCACAGTAAAGAGACTGCACTTGTGAAAGTCACAAACGACATCCCCTCTATCTGTGACCAGGGCTCGCTCTGCCTCCTTGTCCTCCTGGACCTCTCCGCCGCTTTCGACACAGTCAATCATGCCATCCTCCTCAACTGCCTTTCCTCCGTCATCCACCTCAGTGGGACCGCACTCGCCTGGTTCGAGTCCTACCTCACAAACCTCCAGCCGTACATTTGCACAAATGGCTTCTCCTCCCACTCTCATCCGATTACCTGTGGGGTACCCCAAGGATCCATCCTTGTCCCCCTCCTTTTTCTGATCTATATGCTCCCTCTTGGGGATGTCATCTGCAAACATGCGGTACACTTCCACATGTATATGGACGATACCCAACTCTACTTTTCCACCCCCAGTCCCCTCAAGTTCTGTCAGTCTGTCTGTCAGACCTCAGGGGCTGATGAGCGCAAATTTCCTTCAGCTAAATGTTGACAAGACGGAAGCCATACTCTTTGGCTCTCGTCAACGTTTAAAATCTCACGGTTCTCACCTCCTCCACCTACCCGACTTCCCCTTAAACTCTCCGAACATGCATGCAACCTCGGTGTCAGGTTCGACCCCCAATTATCCTTCCTCTCCCGTACCGCTTTCTGCCACCTCCGAC